CTTTATGAAGCAATCCTATATCCTCCCACCACGCCAACAAAGAATTCTACGAAACAGTAGTCAATATCCGGAATCACTGTTCAGTGTTGGACATCCTATTTGCCGAATGCACAAAGCTTCACAGCTTTTCTTTCATCGTACAAAGTCTGGTACCTCGCTTCATTTAAAGATTTTCAGAGACTTTGAGGCTAAAGAATTCATTTTGTACTTGTTATGGTTTGAAGGAATTCTATAAAGACTGTCTATTGCGTCTGAACTCTTTCAGCCACAGCAGGCTGAGTCCCCGAACCCCCACCATCCTCCAAAGGCTGAGAAGATGGCAGCCCCTGGGTCTCCCACCTCATCAGGTCCAGGTGTGTCTGGGGACAGTGGGGCAGAGGGCTTCATCGAGCGGACGGTGCCTTCTGGTCAGTGCCAGAGGGCTCAGAGGAAGCCATGTCACTAACCCAATGCAGGACAGGTGTGGTCTTCAGATGACGGCCCATCAATGCAGGGACCAGAACAGTTGAGCTTCAGAGAGATGGTGGCCTCATTGGTCTTCTTGGGTTCCCAGGAGCATGCTGGTGCCTCCCCTTACTTCCCCATTTTGGGCTTTGTTTCCATCAGCACGCACCCCCCACGTTTTCATTGGTCTTCCCATTTTCTTTTCTCTCTGTTCTTTCCATCTGCCTTCTCTTCCAGCGAAGCTGAATGTTGGAACAGCTCAAAGAAGAGACTTCTTCGTGCAGCGTAAAGTTAAGCCACGGAACTCTTTGACACAGGAGACATTTCGATGCCCACTTAACACTCATGACGAAAGAAAAGACAGATTTGTGTGTGCTGAGTTTTACACAGATACAATCCATCTCATTCTGGGATCTGTACAATGGTACCTCTGATTGCGAACGGGGTCCGTTCCGGAGGCCCATTCTCAACATGAAAAGAGCGCAACCTGAAGCGCCGTATCTGCGCAGGTGTGCGGCACGATTTGGCGCTTGTGCGCATGCACGAAGCACGATTTAGCACTTGTGCGCATGTGTGAGTGGCAAAACCCGGAAGTAACCCTTTCCGGTCCTTCCGGATCGCCGTGGGACGTAACCTGAAAGAATGTAACATGAAGCAAATGTAACATGAGGTATGACTATAGTCAAGGTGCTGAGAGTTGTTAGGAGCTCCCTATCTTGCTCCCAGAACTATAATTCCCAAAGTAGTTTACCAGTCAAGCCCTCTTCACAAGGAACTGTGGGGACTGTAGCTCCGGGAGGGGAATCATAGGTATGGGAAGAAGGGACTTGTTCTTACAGCGTAAACCATGGAACTCACTGCCACAGGAGGCAGAGATGGCCACCAACTTGGAAGTTTTTAAAAGAGGATTGGAGAGATTCATGGAAGACAAGGCTATCGGTGGCTTACTAGCCAGGATGGCTGTGCTCTGCCTCCGCAGTTGGAAGCAGCAATGCTTCTGAATACCAGGTGCTTGAAGCCGCAGGAGGGGAGAGGGGTCTTGTGTTCGAATCCAGGCATCTGGCCACTGTGGGAACAGGATGCTGAACTAGACGAGGCCTAGGCCTGATCCAGCAGGCTCTTCTTATGTTCTTTACTCAGACTGTGTGGGGCAGGAGCCCTAAAGCGAGCAAAGCCCAAAGTTGGTGTGGCCACCTCTTTTCTCTGTCTACTCCTATTTTCTTTCAATCGCCCCCCCTTACTCTGCCACGTCCATTCTTCCTCCTTGCCACCCATATGAAAACGCATGGATTCCTGTGCTCCCTGACCCACACAGATTGAACAATCTGGCTCCCAGATAGTGTGAAATAATTTCATTGAACTTAAAAAAAAAGAAAAAAAGCACACACCTCGTAGCAAATGCACAGCTCTTTTCGTACCTGATAATAGATGGTGAAAGCACTGCAGACATTAATTATTGCTTTTAATTGCTGTTTATTATGATCAGAATCTTACTTTTATCTAAATGGGTTTGCTCCTCCCGACTTAATAATAGCAATCTGCATTTCAACAGAGCTGGCATCCCAAGATCACGATGTACTTTGTAACCAGACTGTCTCCCAACATCCCTGGAAGGTAGGAAAACCAGTTTTCCTTTTCCCCTGCAAGATATATTGGAGCCGCCCTCCCCCACTCGCTCCATCCCCGCCCCTGCTATCTTGAATGGAGGCGATGGGAAAATGTTTTGAAATCTCCCATCAATTTGATCTCTGGCTTTCAGCAACAATTGGCGGTTTAACTTTCCTGCATGCTTATTGGGAAAGCTGAGGATGCCTTTATTAACAAGAAGAACTGGGCTCCCAAACAGGAATAGGGAAAGCTGCATCTCTCCAGACAGCATGACCAATGGTCAGCGACGATGGCAGCTGGGAGTCCAGCAATTTCTGGAGGGCCTCTCTCTTGCCCCAAGTATTCACAGTCCTTGGGTTAATTCCTACCTGCTTGCTTAAAAGAAAGCCAACCAAGAAAATATGGAATTAAAGGGATCTGCGCTGAATGCATATGAGCATTTATTTTATTTTAAATTTATTATTTTTATTTATTATTTTTTTGCAAAATTCTTGACACTCGTAATTGCCGCCTTTGCAAAACCAATCACCACCTTTGCAAACAAAAGGGACGACCACATTTTTTAGTTTCTCTTCTATGTCTTACAAATAAGGTCATAGGGTTTTCCTCTCTCCTCCCTGCAACAAGTACACTTTTTTTAGGGGGGGGGAATGGGAATAATATTTGTTTCAGGGCTAGGGAACATCTGTTCCTTCAGAAGTTGCTGGACTACAATCCCCATTATCGCTGCCCATTGTGGTTGGGGCTTGATGGGAGCTGAAGTCCAACATCTGGGGGGTTTAGAAGAAAGGCTAAATTAAATAGGAATGTAGAAAGCTGCTTTTTACTGTCAGACCATCGGCCCACTGAGCTCAGTATTGTCTGGACTGACTAGCACTGGCTCTCCAGGGTCTTAGACAGGGCATTTCAAGCAGGTGCCCAGAGGTGCCAAGGATGGCATTCTGCATGCAGAGCACATGTTTTCTCCCATGGAGCAATGCCTTCTTTCTAAGGAAGCTGCCATGTACAGAATCAGTCCATTATTTGATTTACACGTAACATTTGCAAAATCCCCTCCCAACTTTCTGATGCACCCAGGGCAATATGGAAAGCACAAAGACATAAAGCATCCACAAAAAGAAAAATAATGATGGGGGCGTTGGAATATAATGCTTAAAAAAAAAGAGTAGGGGATTTTTTTTCCTTGGAATAAAATGCCCTTTTAAAAATTGATGGATGCTGTTATTCAACTACCTGGCTTTGCTTGAAGGATGGGTTGCAAGAGAGCAGCCAAAATCTATTTTCTTTGGATCTACAAATGTTGGCAAATGTGCCCGATAATAGCATTTTCCCAGGTTATCACAGAAGACAACTTAATTGCTGAAGGACAGACAATCTGTCTCCACTCTTCAACCGCCTAGGGATCCGCGAGGACTCCCTTCCTTGGGCCTGCCAGTTTGGTCTCGTCGTTTTCTAAAACTTGCCCCTGAAGAAGGTAACGTCTACTTCTGCAAGTCCCTTCTGTTGAGCTCCTCATTAGCCACTGAGATTATTAAAGGCTCCAATTGCATCTTGCTAGCACCTTTCATGTTGTTTTGGCTAAAGCAAGCCAGCTGTAGGAGTGCGAGGATGGACTTTTTCTGCAGTGTAAGGGGTAATTTGCACTGCATTAATTTTAACTGCTTGTTTATCTTTTACAGGTAATACAGAATGAGAGAAGGGGAATAATGAAGTGACCCCCTGCCCAACAGTTATAAAAGAATCTACAGCAAAAAGAAATAATAATAATAATAATAATAATAATAATAATAATAATACTTTATTATTTATAGGCCACGCATCGGACTGGGTTGCCCCAGCCCCTCTGGGAGGCTCCCAACAAAAAAATAGTAAAAACACATGTTGTTGAGCTTTTGAAAGTTTTGCCCAAAGTTGTTGGCCAACTTCCGACATGGGTTGCCATCCGTCCAGATTTTCCCTGGCATTCCACTCGGATACTGTTTGCGACAGCCGAATTCTGGCTGTGTCTTGGAAATTCTGGCTGTACGGCAATTCTATAAAAACAGCATTGGGTCCGTCCCATATCAAGCATTACATAAATGTGTTGCAGGAGTCCTCAACCCGTGTTCTGTTGTTGCAACGTATGAAATAAAATCAAACCATCTCTTCTGAAAGGTGTCTTGCCTTTTCATTGATTTTATGTTCCCACATTTTATGAGTTGATTTGTCCACCAGAGCAAAGTTCCATATTTGTGCCAGCCACATTTTGCTCAGAGTTTCTTCTCCTTTTTTTGCAGTGGTAAGCTGAGCTGTGGTTACACTGCTTTTGAAATAGTGCAGCCGATGACTGTCTGTCTGTCTGTGTGTGCAAGGCACCAGCTAGAAAGCTGGCAGCATGTTAACAGGTACAGCGGGCTTAACAAAACCAAGATATGCACATAAACCCCCATGTAGTCCACATTGCACCCACCCTCAAAAGGATTTTCATTTAAGGATATCTATAGTTAAATGTTTCCTGCTTTGGCTCAGTGAGATATTGCAAGGGCAGTGACATTAGATCAGGCATATGCAAATTTGGCCCTCCAGATGTTTTGGACTACAACTCCCATCATCCCTAGCTAACAGGACCAGTGGTCAGGGATGATGGGAATTGTAGTCTCAAAACACCTGGAGGGCTGAGTTTGCCTGTGCCTGCATTAGATGACAGAGCATCCAAGCATTCCTACCTCACAGGGTTGTTGTGGGGATTAAATTAAGGTTACCAGATTTTTTTCAATGAATCCGGGGACACTTCATTGAAATGAGTTGGAATGAGAGGATTTTGTCAGGGGATTGATTTGTAAATCTGGGGACTGTCCCCAGGAAACGGGGACATCTGGTAACCTTAGATTAAATGAGCATGGGGAGAACCATATACACTGGCCTTGAGCTCATTGGAGAAAAAGGTAGGATATAAACACCCAGGGACAGCCTGGATAGCTCAGTTGGTTAGAGTGCGATGTTGATAATGCCAAGGTTGCAGGTTTGATTCCTTTATGGGACAGTGGCATATTCCAGCATTACAGGGGGTTGGACTAGATGATTGTCAGGGTCCCTTCCACTCTACGATTCTATGATTATAAATGCAATAAATAAATAAAATATTGACAGGCTTCAGGGAATCTGATCCTTCCCACGGTGGCAGCCAAGAAGCAGATAACAAGAAGAGTTCTCACCAATTCTTTTATTCAACATTCACTGAGAGGAAACATAGAAATACCGTCTCTTAGATAATGGCTTTGCCCTGAGTAAGTCCCACCCCCTCAGTCCTTCCTATTCTGCGTCACCCTTGCGCCGTCCGATCTGGGCTTTCTGCCTCTGCGCTTTCTGTTCTCCTACTCTCAATGCCTGCCGGGTCCTGGGAGAGGGAGGGTCAGGAATGCTTTCAAGAGACACTGAGTCTGTCAGCTGTCTCTCCCCTGGTGCATCTTCTTCTTCCTGCTGCTCTCCCAATATTTCCTAGCTTTTCCCCTCTGCAGCCTCTGAACTATGACCTTCTGCAAACCACTGTTCTAAGTCTATACTGTCCTCTGCTTCTCGGAAAGGTTCAGGAGGAGGAGGAGGAGGCTGTCCCCACCATTCCTCCTCAGTCCAGTCCCTGACAATAGTGGAGGCAAACGTACTTCACAAACAGGTAGCAAAACCTGCATCTGATTCTGAGAGGGAGAGATTTATGCAACCTCCCAAACCCCAAGGCTGCCAGCTACCCCAGTTCTAGCGAACTCCAGCCGGAAACTTCTATCAAGGCTGGCCACATGTCTTTACAAGAAGAAGAAGAAGAGTTTGGATTTGATATCCCGCTTTATCACTACCCTAAGGATTCTCAAAGCAGCTAACAATCTGCTTTCCCTTCCTCCCCCACAACAAACACTCTGAGGTGAGTGAGGCTGAGAGACTTCAGAGAAGTGTGACTAGCCCAGGGTCACCCAGCAGCTGCATGTGGAGGAGCGGAGATGCGAACCCAGTTCACCAGATTACGAGTCTACCGCTCTTAACCACTACACCACACTGGCTCTCTATTTGAAGGTGTCCTCTGTTTTAAAGACTATTCATTCCAAGCCTAGTTTGAACATAAATAACTCTTAGAAGGGGCCTTGAAGTTGTACCTCAGCAATGAGCACCTGCACAGCAGACCTAGAAGGCTTATAGCTCCCCCGGTCACAGTCTTTCCCAGGGTGGTCAGATAGATTGCATTTCTATTTAATTACTGTAATTATTTCTAAAGGCACACATCAATTAGAACATGCACATTTTGTGCCGCACCGTGTCCTCTTTTTGGATTGTGTATGTATGTATGTGTGTGTAATGCATTACCAGGTTTTTTGGGGGTAATGGGTCAACAAGCAACCAACAAACTTTTCATGAAAATTCAGACTTTGGAATGGATTCCAGAATGTTCTTCTGTTTCCTCTCACCAGCTGGATGCAACTCCAAGGAGAAGTTTCCGCAACTGGGGCTCTTCTGCCTAGATGACCCCTTGTCTGAGAGCCGCCCATCTCATGTCAGACAGCGGGGGCAGCAGCGGGGGGCGTTCTGCTGAAGGAACACAAAGAAGTTCACATAGAGATGGAAAATACTTCATGTGCACTGGTCCTAAATCATAAAAGGCTTTAGCAGAACAATTAATTAATTAAATAAATAGAAACCCACGTCCCCCAACCCTCAAGTTCCCGTTTCACAGTTGTAATCGCCCCACCCTTCATTCCTATCCCTGCTTGTCGTTACGGCAACAAATAATGAAGAACTGGCAAATCGAATTGTGTGAATATCTGGAATTAGCAAAAAATGACAGAAGTAATTAGAAATCAACCAAACCAAAGGTTTAAAAAGGAGTGGGACTGCTTTAAGGAGTACCTGGAAAAAAACATTGTTCTCAGACAACATCTTTGATATGTTTTGATTAAAGTTTGCAAAGTAAATAAGGGATAGGTAACATATACTATGTAAGGGAAGTGAAATAAGGAAAAACAACACAGTTAAAAAGATGAGGAAGAAGTAAGGAGCCACAATAAGGTGGAGGGGAGTCACATGCGAAGAAGTATTGATTTATTTTAGTTTACATTTGTGTATAAGTTAACATATTTTGAAGAAGGAATGGAAAATGTATATAATTAATTAATGTTAAACTCAATAAAGAATAATAACACACACAAAAAGAGAATGAAAAATTGTAATAAACATCAACGTGGCTGCAACGCTTTTAGGGCTCATCCATGGTCCATGCTTTACAGCTCCATGTTCGAGCATTGGTTTTTAATTTTTTTTTTTGTCCCAGCACTTTCCCTGGGAAAACCCATGTTTCACTGCTGAATCAGAACAAACAACAATCTGCAGAAAAGTCATTTGCTGTTTCTGCTCTAATTCAGCACTAAAATCCCAAAGAAACTGAAGAGCCAAACAAACAAACAAATCGCTTCGATGCACAGTTGTAAAGTGTGGATCTGCTCCTGGAAAGCACGGCTTAAAATGAAATACAGTGATACCTCCGGTTACAAATGGGATCTGTTCCGGAGGCCCGTCCGCATCCCGAAAACTTCATAACTGGAGGCGTGATTGAGTGCTTCTGTGTATGCGTGTAGTGCGCAGAGCACTTCTGCACATGCGTGCATGGCGAAACCCAGAAGTATACATTTTCGGGGGTTCCGCGTTCGCAACCCGAGGATTACGTTACCTGAAGGTAACATAACCCGAGGGTCCACTGTACAGTGGTACCTCGGGTTAAGTACTTACCGGTAATTTGTTCCGGAGGCCCGTACTTAACCTGAAACTGTTCTTAACCTGAAGCACCACTTTAGCTAATGGGGCCTCCAGCTGCCGCCGCGGCGCCAGACCACGATTTCTGTTCTCATCCTGAAGCAAAGTTCTTAACCTGAAGCACTATTTCTGGGTTAGCAGAGTCTGTAACCTGAAGAGTCTGTAACCTGAAGCATATGTAACCTGAGGCACCACTGTATAGGGAAGTTTTAAATGTTTTTTATTGTGTTCTTATATCTGTTGGAAGCTGCCCAGAGTGGCTGGGGCAACCTCTCCTGGCAAATAAGAGATATACAATTATTTGACCTTTCATCTGAAGGCAGCCCTGTACAGTGGTACCTCGGGTTAAGTACTTAATTCGTTCCGGAGGTACGTTCTTAACCTGAAACTGTTCTTAACCTGAAGCACCACTTTAGCTAATGGGGCCTCCTGCTGCTGCCACGCCACCGGAGCACGATTTCTGTTCTTAACCTGAAGCATATGTAACCCAAGGTACCACTGTACTGATGAACCCTAGATTGCAGGAGGGTAGAACTCGAACCCATGGCTTCAAGTCACAAAAAAGGAGATTCTGATTAAACACCAGGAAGAACTTTCTGGCAGGAAGAGCTGCTGGACAGTGGAATGGTCACCCTCAGGAAATGGTGGATTCTCCTTCAAAAGAAGCTTCAAGCAGAGGTTGGATGGCCATCTGTCATGGAAGCTTCAGCTGAGATTCCTGCATTGCAGGGGGTTGGACTAGATGACCACTGGTGGTCCCTTCCAACTCTGTGATTCTATGCAGAAATGCTGTCCCTGCCCAAGTGGGGCTGAAGGGGCGGGACGCAGAGCTGGAACAGGATTGACCTTTATTCAAGGCAGTGCCTGGATAGAATCTTGTGACTCAGAAGCACAGGAAGACACCATCCTTGGATTGGGCAGAATCTGACGTTTACTGGATTTTCAGGTTCCAGAACTGCTTAACTGACAGAAGATGCATTTTATTTCCTGGATCAGGGAAACATTGCATTGTTACCAGTTCTGGCCTCTATATGAATTATTCCATTCGCAATCCATTCACAACCCCTGGTTTCACTGCCTATATCGTTTATAAAAACAAAACTTCTGCCTCCACGGAGCAGCATGTAGTCTGAGAGATGGTGATTTGCTTTAGTTCACTAGTGACCGGGCAAGGATTTGAACCCAGGTCTCCCCGAGTGACCTGGAGCACCTGAAGGCACTGTGCTGACTTTATAGCCAGTTATTCCATCAAACTGCCACAGAGGGAGCGAAGGGAAGTCTGGCCCTTTCCATTGGCTTCACAGGGAGAGCAACTCCATCACACTTCTCTCTCCCTCAGTGGTCACCTGGAAGCAGCCATTCTATCATGATACAGCAGAGGGCAAAGTGGGAAGCAGGACTGTTCCATCGGTTCTGCTAAGTAATGAGCTTTTGCTCAAACGTGCATAAGGTAAAGGTAAAGGGGCCCCTGACCATTAGGCCCAGTCGTGGCCGACTCTGGGGCTGCGGCGCTCATCTCTCTTTATTGGCCGAGGGAGCAGGCGTACAGCTTCCAGGTCATGTGGCCAGCATGACAAAGCCGCTTCTGGCGAACCAGAGCAGCACACGGAAATGCCATTTACCTTCCCGCCGGAGCGGTACCTATTTATCTACTTGCACTTTGATGTGCTTTCGAACTGCTAGGTTGGCAGGAGCAGGGACAGAGCAACGGGAGCTCACCCCGTCGCAGTGATTTGAACCGCCGACCTTCTGATCGGCAAGTCCTAGGCTCTGTGGTTTAACCCACAGCGCCTCCTGCGTCCCTCAGACATGCATAGAACCCTCCAAACTATCAGGGGATCTTGATAATGCCAAGGCCCCCAGTCACATGAACTTGCATGCCAGTATGCTGCCCGCCCATCATGGGGCAATGAGTACAGGGACTTTGGAGTCAGGACAGGCATAACCTGGGGCACTCTGGCCTCCTTTCCATGGATACAGGGTTCACATGTTCAGGTGAATGCCTGACCATGCCTTCTGTAACACGAGGAACAGAGTTTTGAGTTTGCTTATTTTTTCCTCTTCCCTCCTCATCCATTTTTCTTCTTGTGCTATGTCTTCTAGTTTGTAACCATGCAGGCAGGGGCAGAGGTTAATAAAAATAAAAATAAAAATAAAAATGCTTAAAAATCTAGTTTTAGATGGTCTACCCATCAAACAAGTCTTTTGCAACTGTAGGGTCTCCATACTAACACTGCTTTATGTGGCCTG